GGGGGGACCAGTGGCGGTCGGTGACGGCGAGGGGAAAGAGAGAGAAAAAAAAGAAAAGAAGCATTCGGCTTTGATAGGCTAATGACAAACGCCTAGATTGCCGGCTTATCACCCGGCCAGCGCTAATTATTTCCCCTTTGTGCCGTGCCGCGCATAATGGCGTCCGTACGGGAACGAGCGAGAGAGCGGGTTTTCTCTTTCCGCCTTACGTGCGCCGTGCGATTTACACGCACGAGCGTGACGGTGAATTTTTTTTTTGTTGCCGTGCGCGCGGCGTGAATTTCTCGTCGCGGATTGGTCGGCGTTGCGCGTCTTTACGAGTCAATTCTTCCACTTACGACTCCATGCACTCCGACATGGTAGACCTTTAACTATCTTCCGATGATTTCTATTTTTTCCGCGCCGGACGTGTGGACCGATCATTCGCTTGGACGCCAATCTTCATTTATGAATATAACGATAAATTAACGCGCCGGATATATCTGCCATTTTTTTTTCCGATTTTTTAATCTCCCCTTTTGCATTATGATTCGTATACACGCATTAATTAATTTATGCACGTTTTTCCTAGAGTTTGTTCTCTAGATCTGAAAGAGACTATAGATTGTCGCACGATATCATCGGCATGTTTTCGAACACGATACTTATACACATTTCGTGTCATTATATAATAATCCGTCCTTCGCAGTTAATTACAGAATACTGTAAAAATTTTAAGGCTTCCGCGAACAATCCTTGGCATATCTGACTCGGTGTTTCTAGTTCATAAACTAATCTTGTATTAATACTTTAACGACATTGCTCGTGATGTACGGGCGAAACTTATATTGTAGTATTATCGTACATTATCTTTTAGCGAGATCTAATAATCTAGAATATAATTTCTCGTAAAGTTTAGCTTTTACTATCGTCTTTGTAAAATTCGTTGATTCTTCTAGGCTTTCAGGATTCGGTTTAAGACAAACCGCGACAATCTCAAGGTGAATATTTTTTTTGATTAAAAAAAAAAAAACATTACGAGCTCTCGCGCGGTGGCGGATGAACCGGTTTCTCGATGCCACTCATTGAAATTAATCTCGCTTCCCCTTCGTTCATACGATGCAGTCACGATATACGGGTGATAAGCGCGGTATCGATATGTTTTATTTGACGAAATAGCAGCGAGAGACTGCGGGTTCCATTGAATTAATAAGGGAATTCGATTGAGCCCCCCAGAGAGCGACCGATATCCGGAACTACGGTCGGCCATGTTTTGGAGCGCGTCTATCGATCACTATGTATGTGCGTCGATAACCGCGCTATATATAAATTATGCCGACAACGATCGAGTCTTGACTTCGTGAAAGTGGCCGATCGTTCCGAAGTGATGGCCCGTCGCGGATCCAAGAATCCGTCTTCGTGGATTCGAATCGAGCGATGGAGGCACAACTTCTGGTAATATTGATCGTCCGCATTTTTACAGACGCCCCCGATAATTTGCTCGTTACCGCGCTCACGTATTAATCTCTCTCCCTCTTTACGCATGCGACGAACGCGCACGCGGCTACGTGCGCTCGCTCTTGTCGTTTTGCGTGCTGAAATATTCTGAACAGTCCTTTGGATCATAATAAAAGCAACACGCGGCCACCGGTGAATTTGCTCGGACGCGACCGATGTGAGCCTCGTGAGCGAGTAGTAACTCGCGTCCGTTTAACAAGATCGATGGGCTACCGCTCTGGATAACGCGAGCTTTTAATCGCGAGGTCGATAAATTATCGTAATCGGGGAGTTCGTTTATCTCGATAATTTGATAAATTTGTATTATGCCGCTTAACAACGATAATTTGGCGCCAAGTGCGGCACTAAATCGAAACGTGTACGCACTATTGTAGGGAGGGTAAATACGCGGCTGTTTTATCATAGTCGTTTCTGTCCATTAGCATATCATTCGAGTGCTAATATAAAAGGGATGTCTTCGACAAATAATTACGTTTTCAATGCAAATATGTGACCGCAAATCGTCATCGTCGGTGATAAAATCGCGCGTAGCTTGTTCGTAAAACTCGATTACGTTTGCAGATTTTGTATCGATCAACCCGGCATGATGCATCATTGTAATAGCCGCTTTACCAAGCTCCTTCCTTCTTGGCTCGCACGGAACTTTATGAAATACTTGCACGAAGATTAATTAACGTGGAGAAGGAGTAACATGCCAGCGCGCACGCTCTCTGATTGTATGATTAACGGCGACACCTTCTTGACACTTTTTTAATCTGACATATCTCTCTATATTTTTCTTCGTGCAAAATTGTTCTCGTGTCTCGTGCCGCTTTTGTTTCTTAATTTTGCGCCGTGCTGTACATTACTCTCAGACCACGCTCGCAATGGCTAATCACGAAAATTTTAAGCCCCGTAACTTACGCTAATTGGAATACTTCTACTATCGTTTATAAAAACGAGATCCATTTTCTACAAAGTCTAAAGATATTTGAAGAAATTTATAGCTCTTAAAAAAAACCTGTTCTACAACATTGTACGTCTTCTTAACTTAAGGCTTTATAAGGAGAGACTTTTGTGATATAGAATCGCATCGTGTCAAACAGTTGGTCTGAAAGTACGAACGAAGCGAATTAATTGCAAACGTTCTTTGTCAGAGTTAATATAAAACAATCTGTCCCAATGTATGCCCCCTTTCTTATTACAGACGATACTGAACTCGATGCACAAGTATCAGCCGAGGTTTCACCTCGTGCGAGCAAACGACATCCTGAAACTTCCGTATTCGACGTTCAGAAGTTACGTTTTCAAGGAGACGGAATTCATCGCCGTAACGGCTTATCAAAATGAAAAGGTAAGTAAGTGACCGTCGAAATGTCTCCTACACGAAAGAACAAAGGTTTCTTCTTAGACTAATGTCAGAATATCACACAGCGATCCTTCGGAAAATTGAAAAAGATCGACTTTGATGTTTGTTGTGTGGGAACTTTTAAAAAAACAGAAAACTTAATTTTGTTTTTCCTTTTATCTTGTAAAAAACTTTCATCGGTGTAAAGACAATCTTTCTGAAACTTTTTTGATTCATTAAGAATTCGTCACCTTATTGTAGAAGAAATAGTAAAACTCTCACGCATAGCATGAATTTTTGACAGGGAAAAACAATCTTGCGTTACGATCTGAGCGGGCGGATCGTTTTGGCTTCTGGCCTTCCTTCGTTAATTAATAATGTTTCGTGGAATAAGCAGCCTTCTCGGTACGCATTATTTTCGGTAGTGAATGAGTTGCTCACACGCACGCACGTGGCATAAGAAGAGACCGGGCCTTGTACAGAGATTTTAGGTCGTTTATTATATATACGCGGCTATGTATTACTATCTTAATTATCGCGTCTTCTCGGTATGTCGGCCGAATACAAAACAAGGCGAAAAAGAATATTAACTCTAGAGTCTCGTCCAGACCTACCGCGAATGTAAATTAACAAAAAATCTTTTAATTTAATTAAGTATTCTTAAATTAATTAAATATTCTTTTCTAATAATACGTCTCGATAAAGCTGTGGATGCGAAGACCGTTTCGTGGAATAAGCAGCCTTCTCGGTACGCATTATTTTCGGTAGTGAATGAGTTGCTCACACGCACGCACGTGGCATAAGAAGAGACCGGGCCTTGTACAGAGATTTTAGGTCGTTTATTATATATACGCGGCTATACATTACTATCTTAATTATCGCGTCTTCTCGGTATGTCGGCCGAATACAAAACAAGGCGAAAAAGGATATTAACTCTAGAGTCTCGTCCAGACCTACCGCGAATGTATATAAATTAACAAAAAATCTTTTAATTTAATTAAATATTCTTAAATTAATTAAATATTCTTTTCTAATAATATATATATATATATATTAATTTTGTGTTTAGATTACAGTCTACGGGCTAGAGAGATTTACTATACGAACGTAACGCTCAGTGTGTGTGTGTGTTAAAACCATTCCTAAGAAAACGAAAAGATCGTTACAGTAGTAATCGACGAAAACCGAACATTATTGCCGTTGCGCGAGATTAAAGAAAAAACTGCTTTTCCATCGCGGTTGTCCCAATATTCTTTTCTAATAATATATATATATATATTAATTTTGTGTTTAGATCACCCAGCTGAAGATCGATAATAACCCTTTTGCGAAAGGATTTCGGGACACTGGCGCGGGGAAGCGCGAGAAAAAGTGAGTATCGCTTTCAAAACTGCATTTTAAGCGCGGTATGTGTTTTTTAACCCTTTCCCGAAATTTTTTAAAAATAAGGGGCGAATCTATGCCAAATAGATGTAAATAATTTTTACAGTATATCTATGTACAAAAGTTTTCTTTCATATAATTGATTTACGATAAAGTATATAATATTGATAATGAGGAATGAGTTAAAAAGAATCAAAGTAGGCTAAGCGTTTTTCATCGAATATCGAGTGAAAAAAATCGTACACAGGACGGATTAAAAAACTACCCTAAATTCAAAGCAAGGGATATGCCCTCTCTTCGAATCGCGCTTCGTGAAGAGCGCAAAGAGCGCGAATCTGTCTTCGGGGTCGACCTAATTGATCGTAGACCTTTCGAGCTTCCCCTCGATCGGGACTATTATGCCGACCTTAGGGTCACCCCCGGAGCTAAGGGTTGGTTTCACAGGGCTCATTTGCACTCCGCATCGCCGGCAGTGCCGTCCATTTGTATTCAATATTGCGGGTTTATGAGCTTATGTCAGCGAGTGCGCACCCCTCGGGATGCTGGCCCGTTGCCGTGGACCAGGCCGCTATGGAAACCAATTTCTATCTCATTGATCGCGGGGTGAAAAGTGGATTTTGATGAAGTTAAGTTTCGCTATGCATAACAATTTAAGCTGTTCCTAATCCTTGTTACGTCATTAATGAATATATTGTCAGAAAAAATTTCATGGATATGCGCACGCGCGAAAGAAAAAAATATTCCGTCTATGATGACGAATCTTGTATCATCACGGAAAGCGCATTACGTTATGCAGAAAGGAAGAAAGAAAAACGGTGAAAGCCGTGGAACAGAAAATTTTCGGAAAATTGTGGTCTGCGACGTCGAGCGGATAAAGAAAGGGCGAGGTTAATCGAGAAAATATGCAAAGTAGGGAGGGATGCGTCGCCGCGGCACCGCCTAATTAGAATAAGGGTTAGTTTTGGCTTATGGTTTCGGTTAAGGGTGGTTGGATGCCATCAGGAAGCCACAGGGAAACTATAAAGAGAGAAAGAGAAGGCACGGCGGGGAAACACCGGCAGAAAGAGACAAAGAGACGTGTCGCGAGAGAAGGAGAGTGGCACAGCGAGAAGAGGGACCGGGGTTGGAACATAGCCAATCATCGGATTAGCATACTGATGCTCAGGGGCGGCGCTGTCGTTAACGTTGGAGGGTGCCACTCTTGGCGGCTTTGAATTTTATATTGGCCCTATAGAGATCGTTTTGCGGCTGCACAAAGACCGCGCTTCGAGAGCGTGGGCGATCTTCGTACGAAATCGCTTTCCTCAATCGCGCATGTCCCAATGCATTTTTTACGCATTATACCTTTGATCGTATCATAGGCTTACGTATAACGTACTAAACCGCTAATAGCGATATCGGAAGAAGTAAGAAGGATAGCGGAGTAAAAGAGAGGCGATAAAAGTAACCGCAAATGTGTAGCGAATCCAATCTCATCGGAAATTAGTCTCGCGCAATATTATTTGGACGATCGCTTATATAATTCAAGATACGTAACCGCTCGCACAATTGTATTCTCTGTGGAAATCGCTTCCACTCGACGCGATAGCGTTAAACGGCACTGACAGCCGGTGCATTGTTTCGTTAATTTTTTAACAACGCGCGACGCGGCGTTTCGTCACGAGATGTAACGCCACTCGAGCATGACGAGTTGATTCGCTACAGCGCTTAAAAAAAAAGACGGGACAAAAAAATGAAAGAAAGTACGCCGGTGTGCGGCGAATTGTCACGTCATTCATCATCATATACACCGCGGAAAGATCGCATTGCGATACGCGGCAAATTAGTTCGTTCGCTTATGAAACTCCTACTATCCCGTTTAATACATATAACGCGAACCATACGTATTTTCTAGCGATATGTATTTAGTGCGTGTGTTAAATTAATAATTGCGACACTGATCATTGATCATTGTCTCCGGGATTAATTTATACATTCGATATTTACACATTCGGCTACCACATACTCAGTTTCTGATTAATGAGCGGATCGAGGCGCGTCGTCGAGAAATCTACAGAGAAGCTAGCTGATAGTGAGTTTTACTCTTAACTTTTGCAGTTAATTATATTATCCGCAGAACGAAAATCGTTGGGATTCCTGCGAGTTCTCCGCATATAACAAAGCATTCCTTCAAGCTATAATTACTAGCCGGATTAGCCTTCGGCTTTACCTTCGATTTTTGTTGAAAAATATCAGTCTAGCCTCGTTGGGCACCCTCACCCGTTGGATAATATCTAAAAATTAGCGTTCAGAATGACATGTACAAGTAACGATGTTTTAAATATCTCATTATTTGCAGTATAGTAGTATCAACATTGTTATTTCTTACCGCATAATCTCTCGCAGTTTCTCTAATCATTAGTAGTCCGAGTTTATAATCTCTCAGTTTCGTTAATGCAAGAATATCCATCGTTTGTCGGATCGCTCAAAACATTGCGACGATTATGCACTCGCAAAGATATTTTGATAGAGTAGAGGAGCGCCGCAGTCTCTATCCTTCCCACCAAAAAAATGTTTTTTGCGACGATACGAAAAGCGCCGCAAATACGTCTCTCATAATCGCGCCAAGTCGAAATATTCGATTTCGCAACCTAATCCAGAATTAATTGGCGCGCACGGATCCTTTCGAGCGAGCACGGGCAAAATTTCCTGGAATGTCTCTAATCACGCGAAGGAAACTCGATGGTACGTTACCGTCGACAATCGAGTCGAATGACGGGCCGGGGGTTACGGGGGCGCGACGGAACGGGGGAGGAGGGAAAGGAAAGGGGGAATAGGGCAAATCTAATGCATCGTCTCGTGCAGGCAGAACAAACCTAAGCCTCGTGTAAGTCCCGGCTATAGCCGTTCGCACAACGAGAGGCTTACCGGTACCTTAATGCCATGTAATGCGATCAGTTCACTAACACACAGCGGCGGCGCGCTTTCGCTTACCCGAGGTGCATCCGTGCTCCTCATGGATGCATCCGTGACATGCACTCGTTGCAGCAACGAGAGGGGTGTGCAGGCTCTCTGGTTTCTGTACGTAAGTGCGAGAGCGCGCGCCAAATCAATAGTTGGCCGCCGTGCACCCGGTATAGGATTCTCGAATAAGTACGCGTCCCTCTCTCCTCTCGTCTGCGGTCTCGATGAGAGAGACGTTCATTTTTATTTGCACTCGCCGGAACCGATCCAAGTCGTCGTTTAACGCTAATCACGGCTCATTATTTCTTTTTCTATCTGCGTTTCAGTCGATTGTAAAATCGAACTGTAAAAATGTATAAGGATTCATACATATTAATGTAGATTAATTAGAAACGATTAAAGCCGCTAAGTTCTTCTTCTATAGAGGCTGTCCATATAAAATCCAGTTCAATAAATCACGTTGCGATATACGCGACTCTTTGCGTAGATCGTGTGATAGAAACACGTTGCCCCGAGGAAATCGCGAATAGATCAGCGCATCGCGAATCGATACGGTCTCTCGCGTTCGATATCGTCGCGACATTGTGAAAAATGATCATGACTGTCGGGATACAGGCGGCTAGAGATGTCAGGGCGATAAATCAGCGCTCGATTCCCTTTAGCTCCTCGCGATTCGCGGAAAAAAGTTCTTTGCGTCGTACCGCGACGCGGAGAGCGATATAAAATAGTGTGCTTCGCGTATATCTTGAGTGTTGTATCGTTTATGCGAGCTTATACGTACGCATACATACATAGACGCGAATTGCGCCACACTCTCGCTCGTCTAGTTATAAGTGCAAATAGCCGCGAGTGGCATAAAGTTAAACCGCGCACGTGAAGGCAACGCACGCACGCGCGAGCGGAGGAGAGCTAGTAGACGCTTGGCGCGCGCATAGGAAAGGCGTTGAAGGCACAATTAAGATAATTAATCTAATACCACGGCCGCGCCTTGGGGCGATACAGCTACCGGCGCTCGCATAAATCGCGGGGTCTCGTTTATTGCATCGCTCGCCAACCAGCCTCGCATGAATTATCGCCGCGGAGACGAGCAGCGAGACGCGCCGCATAGGCCGAGAGTGAGCGCTGACGCTGTCTTGGGTGCGTCGGGGCATTTTGAGATTCTCTCTTCGACACAATACCTCTCTGTCTCCTCGCGATTGCATGATCGTGCGGCTGTTTCTCTCGAACGCTATATTTTATTCGCAGCGGAAAAATATATCGTTCTTTTTTTTTTTTTTTTTTTTTTTAAATGGTCGCAAATGATGGTCAAACGAAAGGTTTCTTTTCTATGAAAACAATCACAAGTGGTGGCATAAAAAATGTTGCGAATAATTGTACGTATATATTATTTATATACACACATATAATCGTATCTTGTATTTTGAAAAGTAACTGCAATATTAATAATAATAGCGCAAAAGATTTAAATTTTTTTTTTGTAAGCCATAATCACAGACATAATGGCGAGACAATATTTATGGAAATTTCGCGGAATTTGAGGTGAGAAAAAACCAAAACTATTATATATTCATTTTCAAACTTGCCAAATCTTTAAAGAGTTGCTCTGTCGCTTTACTTCATGTTACAAAGTAAAAATTTTAACATTGCAATAACTTTCACACATGATATTGTAAGTTAATCGATCAGCATAGAAAGCAAAAATATAGTCAAATTATTACGCTTAGTATAGATTGAAATCGTTGATCGGTTTTTGCAACAATTTCGTGCGAACGTATCTTCTTACCGCACATTGTTTATTATATATTTTCGATTGAGACATACGCATACGGCAAATTAACAAAACCGCAACGAGATGTTGCGAACGATTTAGCATTGAAATTGCCGCTGCCAAGGAAAGAGGTAACTTTATCATCCGCCTTTTCGTTATATTCTCCGAACCAATTATAGTGTGCCGTAATCATCGGGCATTCGCGCGTCTCAAAGGAAATTGTCAGCTTAGGAATATCGATAAATTATATCGAAATAGGCGGAACCCATTTTACCCGACAGCTCTCTACGCTGTAACATTTTTGAACGATTGGTAATTTTTACTAACCACGCCTTTCCATAAATCAATAATCAATCTATATAGAAATGCAACAAGGCAAGTCATTGCCTTATTTCTTTATAATTGCGCGACACGGCGACAACGAATCTGTGTCTTGGCTTATAATTTACTTTTCGCGAGATAAAATCAGCGCGGTACAATTTCATTAATTTTTTGAATAATATGAAATTTTAGCTTAATTTTACACGATAGAAAATTAATCTAAAGAGCAAATTAAGAACCTCGCGAACCTCGCAAGATTGCTAACTCAGCGTCGTTGTTGCAGAAGGCAGGCGCTACTGACAGTATCGGGCGGCGGTTCCCGTTTGACAGCTGGCGGACCAACGTCGCCGGACAAGAGACGCTCATCGAACTCCGCCACCGATCTCATGGATGACGAGGACAAGCTGCTAGATGTGGTCGGCCCCGACACGCCACATCCGGCCCATCATCATCGGGAACGGGAGCACTCCCGCGAAAGGGACGATCGGACGAGCGAGCGGGGCGAGGGCAGCGAGTCGTCCGGGTCTGAGAGCGGCGGCGGGCCAGGCCCGACCGGATCCGAGGGCCCACGGCCGGACGTTTCCGTCGGTCCGCCACTTCACCCGCCGCTGCTGCCGTATCTGTATCCGCCGGTTCCCGGACTTTATCCTGGTCCCGGTCCCCTGATACCACCCACGCCCCTGGGTCTGCACGGCGGTGTCACACCCGGCATGCTGTTCAACGCTCAACTGGCCCTGGCGGCCTCCCAACATCCAGCGCTCTTCGCGCACTATCCGCATCCTCTGGCGAGTCCTTTGCACCAGCTGAAGGGTCACAGATTCGCGCCCTATACCCTCCCGGCTCCTTCTCACGGCTCCGCCTTTGAGACCGTGACACCCGGCAGCAGGACCTTGAGCCCGAGATCGCCGCCGCCGAGGCCGCCAACCGATTCGCCGACGCCCACCGGTGGCAGCGCTCTGACCTCGACGACGCCCAGCTCCGCCGGCGAGCTCAAGTCCATCGAGAACATGGTGAACGGGCTGCAAGAAAAGAGACGGAGAAGTCCCAGTTTGACGCCCGGGCATCGGGGCGACGACGCCGGCGGAGGGAGTCCGTGACAGGAGAACGAACCTGTGAGCAGTACGAAGGACGACGATCCCGACGAGGACTGCGCCGACGAGTCTGGCGGCGACCAAGAAGACCTCTCCGCCGACGAGAGGGAGCCGGACTCCACGTCGGAGCCGTCGTAGCGGTAGGAACGTCGGCTGGTCGGTACTCGGTTCTCACTACCTCTCCCTCCCTGTCCTATTTGGGAATCTTGGTTACGCTCGATCGTCTGCCAAGATTTTCGCTGGACGCGCCGGAGGGGAGCGAGGATGGCCGGACTCTCTCATACTATAAAGTGCAATTTTATTTCCGGAGTAGCGCCGCGCTCGAGAAGTCGTGCTCGCGAGCGAAAATGGCACTCTTCGTGCTTTCGGGACAGGACAAGGAGTCCTTCGCGTGTTTCCTGTATCTGTAAATAGACTTTTGTGCGCGATCCGCACGCGTTAGGAGTATATCTCTGTTGGAAGACCGCGTGGCGGGGTACGGTAGACTCTCCACCGACGTTGCGCCTATTACGCGTTAATGTAAATTTAAACGAGACGCAAGGGTGAATGCGATAGGAGGAAAATGAATGCGAGAGAGAAAGAGAGTCTACGAGCGCGTACCTGTATCTCGTGTGAGTCTACGTTCTACCTGTGTACGTTAGGTCTTAAGGGAAAAGGACAGAGAACGATATTGCAATATAAGAGCACCTCCTATTATTTGCAGTCCCTGTACATATGTACCCTAGTGATATATTATATATTATATATTATATATTATATTATATATATATAAATATTATATATATAAATATAAATAACATCTACACTCTCTCTGTACTAATTATTATATAAATATATTATATTATAACGATATTAGGAGACGCGTAAATGCATAAACGCACGCTACCCGATTTACGCCTCGAAAACATAAAAAAAGAAGCGCGAAGAATCCCAAATTCGAAGAATCTCGGGGCCAAATCTGTGAAAAGAGAAGCGTGGCGCGGCGTAAAAACCGCGGATCGGTTCAGTGCGACTTCCAAATCCTCTCGATTTCTCCAAATTCGACATCGTCATCGCGCGAAAATTCGCGTCTAAGAATACGTAAGAGGTAAAGTCGTCGATTGAAACGACGCGGTGGCGAGTGGCTTTTTCATTAGTTTATTCAAACGACAATTATTTCTGAAGAGTCGTGCTTTTTTGACAACTTACAAGGAGAAGGCTTCTCGTCATCTTAAGCGCTCTCGATGGTCTTCCTCGGGATTTTACGAATAATCTCTTTCGATCTTTTACCGGTAGCTTGGAGTAGCTGGTGAGTGACCTCGTCGCCGTTTCCCATCTGGCTTTCCCTGAACTATCAGATGTTCAATAGCCTTGCTGCGATTTATATGTCCGTAAGAACTTAAGGATTCGGCTGTACACATAGCTGGACATAGTCTTTGGGATGGATTTATTTCTGCCAATACAGACGCGTTTGTCCTCTTCGCTGTCCAGGGGATACGTAGCATCCTTCGCCAATACCACATCTCAAACGCATCCACGTGTCGTCGATCGGCTGTACGTGTCCACCCTGATAGCACAAAAATGCTTCTGCAATGTTGCAGGAATAATACATTGGAAACATTGAAACTATTACAGTTACATTGCGTAATGTCTCTGAGACATCTCTGTAAGATTGCAGGAACGTAAAAATGTCCGCTTCGGTCCGCAAGAAACGTTCCTGAAATATTATGGAAATGTTTCTGGAACTTTTCAGTGAGGTTAGTGCAATATCCTCTTTGGTTTCATTTGCGGCATTGTAGAAATGTAAAAAAACATATGCGGGAATAAATATTATTAATAAAAAAACAATTTTATTAAATCACAATAATTTTATTTATATATTATATAACATATATTATATATTATATATTATATATTATATTATATATATATAAATATTATATATATAAATATAAATAACATCTACACTCTCTCTGTACTAATTATTATATAAATATATTATATTATAACGATATTAGGAGACGCGTAAATGCATAAACGCACGCTACCCGATTTACGCCTCGAAAACATAAAAAAAGAAGCGCGAAGAATCCCAAATTCGAAGAATCTCGGGGCCAAATCTGTGAAAAGAGAAGCGTGGCGCGGCGTAAAAACCGCGGATCGGTTCAGTGCGACTTCCAAATCCTCTCGATTTCTCCAAATTCGACATCGTCATCGCGCGAAAATTCGCGTCTAAGAATACGTAAGAGGTAAAGTCGTCGATTGAAACGACGCGGTGGCGAGTGGCTTTTTCATTAGTTTATTCAAACGACAATTATTTCTGAAGAGTCGTGCTTTTTTGACAACTTACAAGGAGAAGGCTTCTCGTCATCTTAAGCGCTCTCGATGGTCTTCCTCGGGATTTTACGAATAATCTCTTTCGATCTTTTACCGGTAGCTTGGAGTAGGTCGGGCTTGTGATCGTCGCCTATAATATTTTTCTCTCTATTTCAATTATAAAAATTATTTCTCAAAAATGATGTTTCTTTTATATTGCCGTTAAAAACACGCAGTGGGGCTGTTTTTTTTTTATTTTAAAGTTTTTTTTTCAGAATATAAGGAAAAATGAGATTTTACAATAGTTGCTCATTTTTCGGCCGTAGATTTGACAAAGGGCCGATATTACTTTGCGCCGACCAAAAGTCCGATCCGAAGTCTGCGATTTGTATAAATAATAGCGATCGGTGTAGATAATTATTAAATATCTAATATAGAACGTCGAGTAACTTGCAATCAACTCGCGCAGTTTCAGCAGAGAGAACGCTATTCGCGAATGCTACGCGTACGTAACACTATAGCAATGGTCTAATGAGAAAAACCTGACATCCGGGATGGGAGATAACGGTGATTTAAAGCAAAATCGCGCGATGTCTGCGGGAGCGCGGCGATTTTTTTAAAGAAATATCCACGAGACTGGGATTCCCGTGATGTGATCCAAGAATGAGGAGACCGTTATCGTTTGCGACAACGCGAATGCAGCGCACGTCCGAAACGGCTGCAACGACAATCAAAAGATCGACTCGATTCTACTCGTTACGCATCCTCGCGTTCACGCCGATCATCCCGTTGTGCAATCGATGATTGGCTTCCTCATTCGTATTCTAAAATCACTCTGTCGTAATTCGACTAATCGCTATCACGTCGTGTTTTCGATCCTGCAATAGTGTCGAGTATCGTAAAATGGGAAAGACGAGTGGATCTTCTAAGTCGAGCTCTCGTTTCAGCATAATTTATTGCCATTATGCAGTAACAGCGAAAGGTAAGTCAACAGCGATTGGATCAAGTAGATCAATCGCTTGATGTGTTTTCAATATAACTCTTAAGTTGTGTGACATATTGATATATAAAAATAATATATAGAAATATAAAAATAATTATTTTTTAATGACTGATATTTACCGAGCTGTAATATTTCAAAATTCTTTTATCCCTAAAGCATCTATTAACTTTAAATGATGAATTAATATGCTCGCACATGATCTATGCACAAACATGAATAGAATATAACGTATTGATTAGATACCTCTGACATGTGAGTACGTTAATTAAAACGAGAGATACGTATCATATATCGACTTTTGGAAGTTTTGATCAGTTTTGTTTCATTTTACGATACCCGATTAAGGGCAAGTTTCATCGCTGTAACACATGCCTGTAAATCCAAATCTATTATGGGGAAGCGAAATGTTCTGAAAGCAATAATCGAACAGAGCCGTGAATGCAAATATCGTAAGTGAAATTGATAATCGGTTTGGTTGTTTGAATGGAATACCGCGGTCGTCAAAATTTTCATGAGCAGAAATCGGCAAGCATTTTAGCCTAGAGGAAAAATCCGAGGGAAGATTTTCGAGCGATTCGAAATTAACGGTTTGAAAATTAGAATTCGAAGAGTTGAGACAGTAGGGCCCGCGATTGATCATGTATTAAACAGGAATTAGAAATCTATTCGGATGGTAAAAAATGACGAAACAAATATTTTCCATAAATCTTCGTAACTTTCGCAATCATTTATTACTGGTTTACGCGCAGAATCCTCTCTCTTGATTTGCTTTTGCGTATATTGATTTTTAATGAACCTTGTTCAGGCATGTCTGAGGCAAACGTTGTACATACTTATACTATTTCAACCTACTTATATTCAGCGCTAAATATGATTTCTTCGATTTTTTAAATACAAATTTTACTTATACAAAAATTAGATACACAGTCAATGAGATGTGAATTGAGTGAGATGAGAATTGCCACATTTAGCGCTAAATATACCACGCGACAGCGAGTTTCAATGTTCCAGTGCAGAAATAAAAAAAAAAAAAATCGATATGTACAGGTACACAATTGAACAGGCAAGTGGATGAAGAGGGCTTGTCACATTCTTACGCATGCTAAGTTATTTGTATGGATGAATGTTACTCCCTATTGTATCATACGTAATTAATACGTAAAGTGTATTATCAATTTAGTGCTGTGATGGTTCTTAGTGAAGATAGCCTATGGATGAAGAATCCATTGTACAATATTAAATCACATTAACGCGATCATATTGATTTAACGCTAAAGCCTGTAATCTCGAAGCGTTATTATTATATCGAAACATTTTCTTCGTCCATCTGCTCCTTCAATTAACGATTCGATTATGTATTCGACAAGAAGTTCGTTGTCCATTGGAATTTTAAATTAACTGCTACGATCAAAGACTCTCGCCCGAATAAAAATCGCCTCTCAGTTCCCTTTGGGAAACTTTGGGAATTTGCTCAACCCTCGCATATATTTTTCGTGGCTTTCTTCGGGTCGTGCGCTAGGAGCGATGCGAGCCTCATTGTCGACAAGAAAAAATCCAGGAAAAACAATAAAAAAATGGAAAAAAGAAACAAGAACAGGCGGCTCAGACGTAGTCGCGCGCGTTAAAAGTGGATTTAACTTCCTAACACGAGAATCCTAATATTTCGTGGCTTGTATTCTATATTGTACACTCCTTAAATCTTTTGTTTCCCGTTCTAACTCCATTCCCAACCCTACCCCGTCATCGAAATCCATCCGAAAAATCCACGTGATTATAAGAATTTTATATATAAATACAACGACACTGTGTGCTCTCATTTTTCACAGTCCGCTAATATGCCGTACAAAATTGCAGAATGTAAAACTCCCGCGTTCGCGAAGCGTGCGATCGAAATATATGATCTTCCTGGCATAAAAAATCCGATGGGCAATATCAGCCGCTTGTGTGATTACCGATGAATAAATAAACTTAACGCACGACGAATTTACCGTTGCACAGTTGTATCACATAAATATCTGTGCGAAATATAGTCGCAATATCATTTCTTAACACGAATGTCAGTTGAATGGATATGCCAAAACGTATGTTGTTGAAGATTAGCAATGCGTTTATTAATTTCCGTATGATTTTCTCCCACATTCCATATTAAACGCGAGATGCGAGTTCTATCGGGTTAAACGCGTCGTAAATATTAATTTTTAATATTCCTTATACATTCGTTAATAATCTTATATAACACTAATAATGATAGGCAAGCTTTAAGCCGAGAAAAATAACTTTGCTCTATCGCTACACGAAATTAATCATTATGCTCACTAGAGTGAATGATGATGATTAGCATTGAACAGATATTAAACGCGGTTCGTTTATGAATACATGCAACCAATCGACGCGATTTTATAACGAAGAAACTTTTGATTCCGCCGCCTCTTTAATGCAAGAAACCGT